TAAACCCTAATTTTGACAACCACCCGATTCTGAAAAGGAACATCGAGTTGAGAACTCTGGACTGCTCGGGTCTGGTCGCAAGTGGCCGCATGCTTAAACACATGGGTTGCAATCGCGATATCGAGTGCTAAACCCCTGGGTTTAGGGTTTAGGGTTTAGGGTGTTAGGTTTATAACAAGAGACAACAACATGATATGACGAAAGTATAACCACTGACTAAAATGTAATCATAGCAGGATAATGAGAGAAGCCTAGGACTCCAAGACTCTATGTGAACACTTGCCTACCTTCTATCGAAGCCCGTAGGAGGTTTAGGGTTTAAAGTTTCGGGAATTCTGAAGACGGTCGTCAAGCAGTTCTCCGACAACTGTATTGAATCCGCTATGGCTCATGTTCAGGGTTTAGGGTTTAGGGTTTAGGGTTTAGGGTTTAGGGTCTAGGGTTTAGGGTTTAGGGTTTAGGGTTTATGATACTGCAGACCTGACGACAAAACTCCGGTTTCTTTAGACGCCTGAAAACTTCGGACTCCATCACAATACCCTATCAGCCCTACTTTGAACTTACGGTCCCCATAAGTTTGACATTAGGGTCTATAGGTTTAGGGTTTAGGGCTTAGGGTTTAGGGTTTAGGGACCCTACAAAACAAGTAGTTATGCTAGTTTCAGTCTGTTTGTATGGTCCCACATGCTCGATATCAGGGTTCGAACAGAAACTTTTGCTCGGAGCCTGCAAAAAGAGTAGGTTGTGGTACTTAGAGCTTCGTGGGTAGTTATAAGTGGGGTTATGAGTAGGGCAACCATAATAACCCATATTAGGGGAGACGTATAACCCGAAACCCTAAACCTTAAACCCTAAACCCTAAACACTAAACCTTAAACCCCATAAACCCGATAACCCCTATAAACCCTAAACCCCCAAAAAACCCTAAACCCTAAACCCGAAATAGTCTAAGACATAGTCCCAGACCTCCTCCGGAAGCGGAGGCATCGCCGGATCGGTCAGGTGGGTCCGGACGGCCTTCAGGGAATTTTCAGGCTTATGAGGGTTTAGGGTTTAGGGTTTAGGGTTTAAGGGGATCTTTGCAGCGCTGAGGGTACATTGTACGAGGGGTTTGCATGCTGTATTTGAAGGTTTTGTAGGGTTGTTAGTTGAAGGGTTTACGAGGATTCTTCCGGTGTCCGTTCGGCTTAGGGTGCTTGTTAATGGGTGTTTTGTGGGCCTAGAGTGTTTGTACCTTCAGGGTTTCCCGAAACCCTAAACCCTAAACCCCTAAACCCCTAAACCCCTAAACCCGTAACTCTAAACCCTAAACCCTAAACCCCTAAACCCTAAACCCCCAAACCCCTAAACCCCTAAACCCCTAAGCCCCAAAACCCTAAACCCTAAGCCGAAGGATTGGATTCTTGTGGTCTATAGGTGCTTGGGCGCTGGGGCTTGAAGCTTGCAGATTTTAGGAGGGTTTAGGGTTTTTAGGGTTTAGGGTTTAGGGTTTGGGGTTCAGGGTTCAGGGGTCTGAAAAGAGGGTCGCTTGGGGTGCATAGGTAAAGAGACAAGATCGGCTATTTTCTACGAGGGTGCACAAAAAGGTTGTAAGTTGGTCCACAGTCCCCAACATACCCTAAACCCTAAACCCTAAACCCTAAACCCTAAACCCTAAACCCTAAACCCGGCAGACTTGTAGGCTTCTTTTGGGGGGGAACATGCGAACTTGGACCCTCGGGATCCCTAAACCCTAAACCCTACTTCAACAGCCTGAGTGTTAGGGTTTAGGGTTTAGGGTTTAGGGTTTAGGGTTTAGGCTGAGTGTTACTGTATCTATAAGGTCCTACTACCAGCCAGAAGATAGAAAGCGGAGGACCCTTCAAAAAGGCAAGCTATGGTAGATTACTTGGAGGATCCTGGGACGTAGTCAGTAAGGTTATAAGGCCCCTAATTGGGGTTATAAGTATAGTTGCCTTAGTTATAACCTTACTTACTAAGTCTCATGATCCGTTAAGTAAGGTAGACAGGAACTAAAGTGGTGCTGTTTAGAGCAGCGGGAGACTCAGTAGACGAACTGCCCCATGAGGCTGCTAGACTTACGCCTCAAAAGACTTTTCTTTTGGAACCCCCTGTAAGGCCTAGTATATACTATACGGGTACATGGACCCTAAAACCTACACGAGCCAAGACAAGCCCTTATGGTGCCCTTGAAGAAACATTGAAAGGAACCCTATAGGCACATGGAGCCTTATAAGGTATCTCGAACCCTGAGACTTCCACGTCTTACTTTAGCTTAGGTGTTTAGGGCTTAGGGCTTAAGGTTTAGGGCTTGTCGGGTTTAGGGCTTAAGGCTTTGGGTTTAGAGTTTGGAGTCATCCTGGTTACCACCCTCAACACAAGCACCTGGCAGAAGAGAATGGCGAAGGCATAAATGATGATGCCCAGCCTGATCAGGGACCCCTCACAAGGCATCAAACATGGGGCTTGCAGATTGAGGGTTTGGGGGCTTCGTGAGGATTTTAGGTTTGAGGCTTCTGGAAGGACAGCGTGACGTTGTGGGATGAACTCCCGCCAGGCTGCTTGAATTCAGGCTTCCAAATTTGGTCGTGGGGTTGACCTGTACCCCTAAACCCTAAACCGGGACACTTTAAGGTCACAGGTGTAGTCACAGGCTTACGGTCTGGAACCCTAAACTCTGGAAGCTAACAACCACAAACCTAAACGTTGAACCTTGAAACCCGAAGTGCCTAGGACGTAGCGGGCTGATATAGTTAGACCCTGGACAACTATAAACCTGAAGGTAGAAGGATGTACAGCTTTGGTGGCTGTTTTGGGCTATTATTTCATGACAGTAGAATCCTAAACCCTAAACCCTAAACCCTAAACCCTAAACCCTACATGGGTGGTTGTCAAAACTAGGGTCCCCCTTTGGACTGCCAAACTACAGGGTGCCGGACTAAGGTAGAGCTATATAGGGTTGCCCAAAAAGGAGCATGATTTGCCTAAACCCTAAACCCTAAACCCTAAACCCTAAACCCTAAACCCTAAAACCTAACCCTAAACCCTAAACCCTAAACCCCTAAACCCTAAACCCAGTTCCCCAGACTTTCATGAAAGGAGACACCAAGTGGCAACACCTTCAACACCTCCCAGCCCGAAAAGCCCATGCCAAAGAACGGACGTTAGGGCTTTAAAAACAGGATTTAGGGATTTCATTCAGTAGGGTTTAGGTTCAAGCGCTTAATTTGCGATTAAATGCGGGATTTAACGAATTAGGGTTTAGGTTGATTCGATTTGGGGGGTTGAGGGTTCTCAGGCTTCAGCCAAAGCGTCCATGCGCGCAAGTAGTATATACTCTGGCTCTAAAGTACCAACTACTTTAGGGACAAAGCACCTGTTGTATGAAATAAAATAGATGCGTAGTTATCTGAATTAGGGTCCCTTTTTTGGTCCCCAAGTAGTGCGGCAGGACCCTTCAAGGGACCCCAGTTTAAGCGACTACCTACATGAATACATGGCCCCTGGGGGTTGGTGCTTCAGAGCTGCGCGGCCTTTGGGCAACAGATACATTGGACAACCCATCACTCCACCCAGGGATTCCTGGACCCTATAGAACCTACCGTCTCAGAACTACTTGGGTATCCTTATTGTGACTTCTTTATACAAGTCCGTAAAAAGTCGGTGATTTGGTGAGCAAGATTTAGGGGGAAGAAGTGTCAAGCAGCAACCAATCGGCACGTGTGAAACTACCCATAGGCCCTAAAGTAGTTCCTTGTTGGGGTTACCTTAAAGGATTCTATATATGAACCCCAAAAAGGAACTACTTTAGGGCCTATGGGTAGCTCCCAGGCTAACCCTACGGCCCACATGGCCTACACCCAGACTCCTGTACTGTATCAAGCCTTTAAACCAGGCCCTGAACCCTGTTAACGCCATTATAAGTCCTATCAACCCTAAACCCGGAGCTCTATCAACCCTCACCGCCAGCCCGGAACCCGGAACACAGCTACAACCTCAAAGGGTCCAAAGTTGGTAGAAGGTAGGGTGTCTGTATTAGGAATTACTATTATGATTTGGGGAAGTATCCCCCATAATCGTACCTAGCCCTAAACCCTAAACCCTAAACCCTAAACCCTAAACCCTCAACCCTAAGGGAACCTCAGCAAGGTGCAAGGCCCCCAACTTTGGCCAGGCCAAGCAGCAGCATCAAAGCCCAGAACAAGTTCTTCAAGGTGGAAAGGATGGACGTCACCAAAGTCCTCGACCATGGGGTTTAGGGTTTAGGGTTTAGGGTTTAGGGTTTACGGTTTAGGGTTTACGGTTTAGGGTTTAGGGTTTAGGGTGTCCCTAAATCCAAGAACTACGCCGCAAACTCTCGGACCTTTTAGCAAGAGGGGTAGATCAAGTCGTCCCCAGATGCACAATCACCTACCTGGCAGGATACTGTCTTGTTGCACCTTTGGCCTTAAACTGGTCCCTATTTGGGTACTTTGGTGCCAAAGTATCTAATATTTGGGTACATGGACCCTTAGGGCTATGTACAAGCCCAGAGGAAGCATGGCACGGTGACCAACCCAGAGAGACCCCTACACCACCACACTACCTAAGCCCCCTTCCACCCCTCCACGGCATACCCATAGGCCCCGTAGTTCCCTTTTGGGGTTCATATTTAGAATCCTATTAGGCAGTCCCACAAAGGAACTACTATGGGCCTATGGGTATTCATTCCTATAAACTCACCAGAGTCCCCCTAATGGCGAAACAAGACCTACTTCCTTATATCGGAACTTCGCAGCAACACTCCCGAAATCTTAGGCATGGCGCTCTCGTCGGGCCTATAAACACAAATCGTACCTTTGAAGGTACGACCAACAAGAAAGATTCCGCTATTTGGGTCAATTTCGCGCTTTCGGGGCATAGAATACCAGTAGACGTGTCCTTCTACTTTTTTCCATCCGTAGGGTTCCCCGCTACTTTTTTACAGTACGGAAAAAAAGTATCCGCGGAAGATCTCTTGCATGGAGGCCAAAAACCCTGTAAAATATGGGCGCGCAGAAAAGTATACGTTACGCTTAAAAAGTATCTGAGTACGGGTAAATGTCGATATCCGGGTACGGCTTTTTTACGATATAATGTCGATACAATCCGGGTTGGGTACGGGTACGGGTCGTACTGGGGTGCGGTTTTCAACA